AAAATTATGGTAAGAGGGAGAGGGAAAAGAAGAAAAATCCTTAACAATTCTTATTCTTTATCGTTCTGTACCATATATTATCATTTATGCAGTCACTTCCTTGAGGGCAACAAAGGCTTCTATTACTATGACTATGAGCAGTAAATAAATCTTACACTTTTGTGAAAAGGTTGTGCAACACATTGTCACAACCTTTCACAAAAAAAAGCAACATTTGATCATCAAGTCAAGTAAAAAAAAAAATAGAGCAACTGCAAGGTCACACTAGGATTTTAAAAAGGGAGGCATGATGCCATCAACCCAGATGACACAGTACACAAAATAGAATCAGCAATTTGAACATTGTGCCACTCAGTTTTCTCATAGCACTTCAACTTCAAGGCACAAAATACTTCATCTCATTTTGATTCTACTAAGCATGACATAATCTCTAACCTGATCATTGTCGAATATAATTCAGTATAGTTTCAGCTCATGGTTTTCACCTATTCACATATAAAGAAGAGTTTTTATCTTCTTGCGGATTGCTTCATCCCATAAAACAGAATTCATAGAATGCAATGCAAAAATTAGATAAATATATTAAAAGTTTCAACGACAAAATGTGACAAACGCCATTTTCGAAGTTTGCCTGAAATTAGTACTGGTAGCATTGTACCAAGACAATTATTTCTCTTTAGCTGATTCCTTCCATTCGGCCGCTGACGGCGGCTCGAGGTTTTTCTGCTACCGCCATTTGACCGGTGTGAGCGGCTCAATGAACTTCAAGCGAAATCCAAAACAAATGTGCACTTTTTAACATAGTTCCTACTTTTTAAGTTGTCGAAAGGAAGTAGAATTTGTAAACAAGCCTGACCTCAATCTCTGAGTGCCAAAATTAATTGAAACTGCAAAATTCTTGCAAAAATCATTGTTTTGTTGTCGCTTTGTAAGGGTAAACAACACAGAGCCTGGAGTATAATAAAAAAAAAGGCCCTTCAGTGAAAGATGTTCAACTAAATTTGTGAAATTCTTGCATAAATGTGTGCTAGGGTGATATCGGTTCAATTTTGTGTTGATTCCTATAGATTATAAGGACTTGGAGAGCTCAGAAAATGAGGTCAGTTGAAGTTATCGAAGAGGTGTTGTTTTTTTTTCCTCATTCGTTTTTGTCTGAGGGAAAATACAATACAAACAGAATACAGGTAATTGTATTGATATAAACAGATTCTTCTACTTGGAATATGACAAACATATGAGAGTAACTTAGAGCTTCACAGTAGTGCATTAATTAGATGCACCCCAGGTCAAAAACTGAACAGGGGAAAAATAATTCTGTCCAGAGCCTGAAAAAAACATGGATGGAATCAGTTAAGTCACTGAAGTAGGTGATTTTTTTTTTTTACAAAAGGCGACAAAATTGGTTGATTTTTCTTGACAAATAGTGACATATCCTCTGAGTGCCAATTAAGTTCTCTTCTCAAGTCACGTGAGTCGGCTTATGGTCAACAAAAATTTGTCGGCAGTTCTTTCCCTTCCCAATTATAGTAAGTCACATAATGATGCGTAAATGTTTCTCCTGTTTTAAAAGTCGCCCCTATTTCTTGAATTTAAAGCATTTTATTATGGATATAAGTATAAGCTGAACAAAATTATGAAGCAGCTATTCAGACGAAACTACAAACTGAGGGAATTAAATAGGACTTGCTCATACACATTGTTTTACATCACCCAATCTATTGGTTTTGTTACTTTTATAACAAGTTTTATGAGTATTGGTACCATATATCATTTTTAGGTCAGACTCAAAACTGGTTTTTGAAAATTAATACAAAGGATTTGTCTTCTTTTGTGAAAAAAAATAATTTTAAAATCAATTTGAATATATCGATATTTGTCAAAAATGTAAGAAGATTTCAAATTCAGAGGATCAAAATCTAACATAGTTTACATAGATTTTATAATCCAACAATATCAGCTGAGCCTTACATCATGTTTACCCTGAAAACAAAGTTTCTCAAGTTTATTCAGTAAATAGATGAAAATCGAAATCTTTTTTCTCAAAACCGGAAAAATGGATATGTCACGTTTTGTCGAGAAACTGTTCATATCTACCCAGCAAGAAAGATTAGCAGCACATTAAGTAATCAAGCATATCATTGGAGTTATTATACAGACTGACCTCTCTAACTCAACAACTTCGAGATAGTCATTGCTTTAAACAGAACAAAATCAAGGGAAACAAAGATAATATAATATGCATTGAAATTTTCAAAGATATTTTTAAAATGTGATGTGATATTCAAACATCCCCCACCCTCTTAGTTTTACTACTTGACACTTGTTGTGCATCTGTTTACCCACAAGCAGACAAAGTATGAAAATGTAAAATGCTTTCCATATTGGAAGCACAATTTAGCTGTTACAATTTGTTAAATAAAAACAAAAAACCCAGACAACCCTGGGCTTTAAAAAAAATTACTTGACCTCAAGCCTATTCCCCAGTTCATTAACAGCTTATTAGCAACTCAAATAAATAGGGAACAGATAAAAAAATAGAAAAAACACAAAAAATAACAATTTTCTATTTTTCAGTCTGTGCACATATTTCATTAGGGCCAATTCACAATGATTAGTTCAAGATTCTATCACTTTTTTCCCATTGCAATTCTATTGCATTTTTGTCCCTTTCTTTTTGACTGTTCCTTCCACTCCTAAAATTACTCCCAGAAGAGCATGAAGCTACAGATTCAAAGGCAGCAGATTCAAAACATACACAAGGAAAAAATCTGGTAGGTGAGAGAGTGTCAAGCTGTACATAACCCATTCTGTCGTGCTAGAAAACATTTAAGAAAACAAAGTTCACAACCTTAAAAATCTCCAGCTGAGCTTCTACTGTTAACATTCTACCATACAAGAATCTTGACTTCACTGTCAACACCTTTATTTTTTAATTAAATACTTTCACACAATTCCACTCAACTTTGCGATAAAACAAGTGTTTTTGCACCCTGTGACTTTCACATAACAAAAAAAAAATAAAAGACAAGTTCTGTCATCCAGGGGAAATTCTTTTTAAAAATTTTGATCAATGAAATACTGAAATTCAAATCAAGAAAACCTGCACATACAATAAAAGAAATAACACTACTTTTGTGAAGAGAAGAGTAAAGAGCGTAACCTAGCCATACTACATTGTATACATTTGTAATGAATCTAAATGCCTATGCCTCTGGTCTTGATGTAGAACAGAACAAAGATTTTTGCACCCACCACATGATGTGTGTAGGCCTACTTGGGACTCTGAAGAGTAAGGGCAACGCAACATCTTGGTTCTAAAATAACTGGAATTTTCACTAGATTTCACTCAGGCCCTAGACAACTTACTAAGGCTATGTGTCCACCAAAGCAGAACCGATTCGATTGTTTTTCATGTCAGACAATTTTTGGTCTTGTCATTTCCATCATGCATGCATGTCCACCAATGAATCAGCAGTATGGAAAGGACATAGCAAGTCTGTTGGCCTACTTATTTCCTGTGAAAAATGATGCGTGCCCTAGATCATTGTTGTTGTGTGCTGAGTCAATAGACAGTAGAACTTGTAAGATGAGAATCTGTAATGTCAAATTTCCAGTTTGTGAACATGCCAGCTTACAGTGCCAGCAGTATCAAGTGAAGAGTCCACAGGAAAAACGGGCATAGTCACAAACTGGAAATTGTGAGAGTGTCAATTTTAACAGCTTAAGGACTCAAAACTTTTTTGTTTGATTGGTGGTTTATTGTCATGTTTGTTGAATGAGAAATCTTAGATCAGAATATCAACCAACAGTTGAATAGAAATACAGTTTTGAGTAAAAAAACATTCAAAATTGATACCCTCACAATTTTCAGTTTGTGACTATTCCCGTTTTCCCCCATGGACTCCTCAATTGTAATCTTCTGTTTTCTGACTTGTGTACTCTACAGCATGAAGGGGAGGGAGAAGAAAGTCTCACATCAAGGCTTTAAAGAGCCTGATTTTTGTTAGACAGGACTTCCTGTCCATCAATAGCACCAAAAGAAAGCAACATACAAAGTAAGAAGGGAAAAAGCATGTTACCTTACCATACAGGCTTTATATGACAGACAACAAACATGCAGTGGAGAAACAACCAGGGCTGTTGGGGCAGCAATAACAGACTAGAAATCTCCAAGTCCACTACTGAAACTACAGTGATGTAACCTAAGCAGATGCACTGTGCTCTCACACCAGTCAGAAGTCTCCACACCAATCTAGCTGGCATGGACCTAATCAATCACTCCAACACGACATAAATCAATAACAGACAGCTCGATAGGCTGAACAAAGTTCTTCCCAGTTACTAAACATGAAACAGGAATCTCAGTCTACCAAGTTGAGACCAGAATGCGAACCCAGTTTTTACTTCAACAAAAAAAGTCTCAGCATTAACACTGTGATGATATTAACTAAGCATTTTGACAATTGGAAAAATGCAAACCATCTAATAGCAGAAGATTGAACGCTAATTTATTTGGTCGTTATGTAAAAGTTACAGGGCCCTTAACACCATCTTGCTTCAAAGCTCTTTCAAATGATAAAATAACACTGTTCACACACAATGGAAGCAAACATTGCATACCACTCATAATAATCACCATGGTGAGAAGAGAGGAAAAGACGTGAAACAATGAAAGGGCAGGGATAAGGAATGCAGGTGATTTACGATTTATAATTTATAAACATCAGCTTCCAATTACATTTATTTCAGTAAGATAACAAGAGTGAAAAGTGGAGAGGATGCTTGTGATGAGGATACAATCATTATCAAGATTTTACTGACAAGGACACTAGAAATAGCATTGTGTTCAACACATAGGACATCATTTTAATTTCAAATATACATGTATGTGACATATGGGGGGGGGGGGGTATTTTATTTTATTTGTTTTAAAAAAAATGTTTATTTATTTATTTTTATATTTTTTTTTTTTTTTTTTTTTTTTTTTTTTTTTTTTGGGGGGGGGGGGTCCTGCAGGTGGGAATCTAAGGTAATCATGAAAGAATGACACAAATTCAACCATGGGCACTGAACCCAGTCACAGTTACAATGACTATAAGAATGTATCCCCTCCCACAAGAACATCGAAAGCAGCCCCTTGATGAGCCAGTCAGTTCTAATTTGCAACTGTTGTCCCAAAGGGAAACATCTTGGCGCTCATATGACCTTATGCAGTTGCGAGCGCCGTAAAACCTCTACTAAAACAAAACAAAACAAAAGGGAAACACAATATTGCAGCCTGATATCTATGCAAACAACAATACTATTCCCATAATCCATCCCTACCACGACTGTGTACCAAGAGCACCTTTACAGCTGGACAAACTGGGGAAAAGGGGAACAGTTTCTATGCCAACATTACAATGTACATCACCATGAAAAGGAGTTGAACCAAACATTTTTTATTGCAAGTTAAACCCCTAACAACCACATTGGGAAGCCCCTTGGCCTAGTAGTAATGACATTCATAAATTTATTATGGATTTATCCACAAGCGCTCTTTAAATTTTGGTCCCTTTCTCCGGAACTTCACTGGATTAGTCAAACAACAATTTATTTCTGAGTATCTTTAAAACATCAATGATCCAGACCTTAACTAGAAACCTTCACCTGAAGGTAGCAATAAATCTTTTCCTTTGAAATAACAGCTAGACTAGTGAGGGAAGAATTTGAAAAAGTGCAAGCTCTGTCATTGAGATTTTTTCAGGTACATTCAGCACTCTCTATAAATGAGGACAACTAGTGGCCTTTGACAACAGGAAACTTTTAATCGTTAGCTAAACTAGATCTAACAAATAATTTGTTTTTCATTTTTTTGCTTCTTTTAAAACCTTAGCCAGAAATGTTCAGTTTCCACCCGTCATTTTTACATTATATTCCCCTCCCAACTCAGTCTGGTAGACCTACAGGAAAACATACCTCACAAGAAAAGTTTTCCCATCATTCAGATTTTCAGATTTTACCGTTGTTTATGGCGTTAGTGATCCGGTGTTTAGGCTGCGTAATTCAAAACCAAAGCGTCAGTCATTCTTTCCATGCAGTGCTCGGTCCAACGCTGTGCCTTGGACAAGATTTTTACATTTTTCTCTCAATCTCCATCTGCTGCCAATTGAAATTTCACTTCTGCAAAAGACAAGCCTCCTTGGTGAGAAAGGTACCTCATCCCACCTCCATGCAATTTTCCTGCTACAAAAACCAGCACAAGCTACAAATTTTTGGGCCTCATAAGCGCAAAAGAAACATGCACTTCACATCGTGTCAGTAATGGGCATACTTCTTTCTTTTTTGTTTGTTTGTTTTTGTATGCATTTTACAGCCCTTGCAACACAATGAGGTCAAATACGTGCCGAAGATTAGGGGTTGCAAGAGAGTAACAAAAACAAAAAAAGAAGGAGAGATGAAGACAATAGCAAACCACACCAGAGCATCCGTCAACCACCCACACATACTTCTATGATAATTGTGTCCAAGTCTAAAAAAACCCTGTAAGAGTAACAATTATAAAAGCAGTCCAAAAACAAGCCTTAAAAAACAAGTGTAATCTGAGAGAGGTCATGATTATACAGCACAAAGCATAAGCAGAAAGAGATTCATTCATATCACATGACAATCAACATGTGTGACTAAGAAAAAGTATACAAACAAAATACAACACGCTCTCTGTTTATGATCAGAGAAATGAGCAACCAAAGTGGACATTGGTACTTCAAATGCTCACAAAACTTACATGGAGGACACAATTCCATTACAGAGGAAACTGAATCTATTCTTAATCCAATGTGTAAATAAATATTTTCATCCGCACACAAGAACAAAATCCTCAAAATGATCACCAGATAAAAACATCTGCACCATCGGAAGAAAAAAAATTATCAGGAATGTGACAAATAAGTCAAGTCTGTAAAGAACAAAACTTGCTCATCTAACTTTTACCTTTGATGAGTTCTGCTTGAATTGTTCCAGGGACATGGGCTGAAAATATAGAGGAAACTGGTTTAACAAAAAAATGTTAAAGCAAATTTTAAAAGATGGTACCTATGTGTCTGAAAAGTATGTCTCTCCGCTTAAAAATGCAGCAATAAATTGTAGCTAGTTACACAAGTGGTAATAACGTAGTAGAGGACATAAACTCATGAGTTAAACTACATTCTCCCATTTTCCAACTGGTGTACAATCAACATGTTCATAGAGCACCAGGCCTGCACTTGAACAAGAACAACAGACAAGAGTAAAGGAGATTTAAAGAAAAGTTATAGTTCTAACATTTGCGAACAATTTTTCCCCCTAAAAAAAACACAAAAAAACAAATAAACAGAAAGAAGAAATGGCACAAATAAACTTGCATGACCTATGTTAGGTTCAGCTCTAGCTAAGGTATTACTATTATGAACCTTAGTAGTTGAAATGTATTAGATCAAATAGGAGATGAGCTGTTTCAACCCTGCCTGTCAGGGCTAACTTGGGCTGAGAGAAACACATTATTCAGTAGACAGATGGAGATACAGTGGAACCTGTCTAAGACGGAATCATAAATAAGCCCGAAAAAATTCCGCCTCAGACTTTATCATCAACGACTGAGGGCCGAAGTAGAATCAAGGGTTGCCTGTCCAGTCAGCAAATAGCGGTCATAATTTCACACCTCCCAGTGCTATCCTAGCTGCTCTGATGGCATGCATCAGTCTTACTAATCCATAAGTACTTGCATCTAATTAGGACCACTGCTTGACCAGTTAAAAACAGAAATGATTGAATATCTCCTTTGTTTCCACTCTCAGGCCCACAAATCATTGTAATAAGCACCATCAGCAAATTCCATAACTCCCTGGATGTAATAACGATTCAGGAAACTATTTTCTTGGCTGGCAGTACAATCAGGGCAGCAGGCAGTGGTCAAATTTCACACTACTGGTTATCCAGGAAAGTTTCCATGCCGGCATGCCACCTGAGCGCTTTGAAGACGAGCAGCCCTCATTTTCACACCTACACCATCCCAACCATCTTCATTACTCAAGGCTCACATGGGTGAGGTTAACAGCTACCCTCAACCTGCACCCGTCCCTTCTCCGTAGCCTGGCAGTGTGGCGTAAAGTTTAGAGCTGGTGTAACCTAACTTGAGACTTTTGATTCAAAAAAGGGTTGAGCGGGCAACATATTTTCCATCTATGACAAGTCAAAACCCTCCAAAGGGAACAAATTCCTCTATCCATTTCCATGTTGTGAAGGTTTTGGTCTTCGATAGATAAGTTATAGTGGAATTTATCAAGGGGGGAGCGGAGAGATTCCATTATTACAGGTCTCTGTTATGGCAGGTTCAACTGTGCTTGATAAAAAACTTCTCCTCTGACAAATCAAACTCACATCATTCGCATGCAATAGTGAAGAGCCTTCTATAATATCATAGACACTGAGTTCTGTGACATGATCACACATTTTATTCAAATGTTAAGTTCCTATGAGAACTATTTATATATATATATATATTATATGCAAGGGAAAAAAACAGTAACAAATCTCAGCAAAGTGTTTTCCAACAATGTATGTTTGAGCTTGTTTTGTTCCGAAAGACAAAAAATGTTAGCGATAAATAATAATAAGGAGATTCCCTACACACATTCTTCAGCATGCCATCAAATGTTTTTAAAAAAATTGCAACTCACCTTTAAAATCTTAAAAGAACATGTCAAGTCCTCTGAAACAATCATGACAGCTGCAGCATTATCAAACTCCCCACAGTAGTTTGGGGCGCTGAATATGGTCACAAGCTGGAAAATGAGTAAAGAAAAAAACCCAAAAACATGATAACATGGTGCCATGCACAGGTAATATGGCTTCCTGAAAAATACAGGGATAAATAGCAGTGATCAAAATCGAAATATGTTTTAAAAAAATCAAAGGTCACAGGTAAAAAAAAAAAAAAGTAATAATGCAAATCAATTTCCAATATCTTTCCTTTCAATATTAGCCTGTCTCCAAATAATGTCTACATGTTTTAATTTGAATAATTTCTACTCTAATATCTCATACATAATAAAAAGGACTAGAAAGTTTAACAACATTTATCTTACCTTTTGTCATTCTCGGAGTTGTCTTTAAAAAAGGAACCAAAATCTACCCCTAAAAATTGTAAAAGTTATTTTGAACATCCGAACTCTGAGATGACGTGACACTGTAACACATTTGCATTAAATTGACTTAAAAGAAGATATTAACTGATATCTATATATAAAATGTCACTAATAAAAATAACAGTAAAAATAAATAACAAACAAATGCATTCAAATAAGTATCAAGTTTTCTTTTCGGCGCTTATGTACAAAAGATCCCAGTATTCCCGATTTCACAGAAAGAAAAACGTGTAAGGGACTGAAAATCTGCATTATACAATACTGAATAAAAATATAAATAATTTTATACGCAAGCAAATTCTGTGTCATGACAATACCTAAACTAAAAGACAAGCATAACAACTGACAAAAATTGGTCTCACTGATTTTGGTTTTCCAATTTCATAAAAAAAACAGCCACCAGTAGACTGTATACTGTCAAGACAGGAAAATTCCCCAGGCAAGTCCAACAATAAAGGCATGTCCATCATCAAACCTAAGCAAAGCTTCACTAGAACGAAAGAAATACTGTTAAGAAGTATTTTTTGTGAGGAGCTTTTTTTCGTGGAAAAAAACTTTTGAAATTTGTGGAATATTTTCACTACCCAGACACAGAAATTTTGTGAGATGAACCCTAATGAGAATTTTTTTTAAACTCTATTTACAGCAATGTGTTATGTATAGAGCACAATCGTTTGTGCTTAGTCAAATGATCACAGTATAGAGCAGTAGTAGTACCATTGCCCATGTGACCCCAAGGACTATCAATAGTAAAACAGAGCAACAATTATTTTATAGGCATTATTAACCTCTTCGCTGCTGCGCCGTTAAATTTACGAGCCTGAACTGTGTAACACTGTGCCTATGGCCCGTAGAATTAACGGGACTGTGACAGAGGTTGTTTTGATGCAAATTATAAGGGAAGTTACTGCTAAAATCTTGTGATTATTATTAAGGTGCCTTTCCTTTATGTTCACTACCATTTTCCCTTCATTTGAATGCGTCAGATGCAGATTTTAGCTCAAAGAGAAGATTAGAGCTAGATCTAGATCTAACACATCAACTGCACAAAAATGATTTATCGGCAGTAAACACAGATGGGCTTAAATGTATATATATATATGGATTGTACGAGAGTTGTATAAGGTAGGAAAAGCCTCTTGTCACTTCCTCTTTACCTGCAGACACTCACACAACACATATTCTCTTTTTTTGGGTCTCAGTTTATCATTACTCGAATGTGTGTTGTGTTATGTTGTTTCGTGGTGATGTTTTTGGCATCAGGTTACTCCAACTTTTTCAATCTATGTCTCAATCTATGTCCCAAAATTATACCAATAGAGATGTGGTTCAATGTAGAATGTCATGCAGAAATTCATGAGAAAATATTCATTAAAAAATAAGATATGGGATGTAGAGTGGGGTCACCCCTGAGCAGCCTTGATTCATGGGATTTCCCGTGGCACAGGGGCCTATTTAAATGCGGCATTGAAGGGATTAATAATTCACAATTTTTTGCTGGAAGGAAATTTTCATTGTCTTTGCTCACAACTGCAAAAAGTGTAAATATTTCCTCCTCTTGAAAAAATACTTTTTACAGTACATGCATCTGAAAATATCACTCAAAATGATTCTACAGCAAGCCCATCTAAGAACAGGAACAAACAAATAGTCACTAACTGAAGCCTAAATCTCCAACAATTAATTAATTTTACATTTTCTAATCTGCACTGTCATTATGCTGTGCAGCCCTACAGCATTACTACTGAAGCTTAATTTCCCTTAAATGAGGTAATCCCCCCCCCCCCCCCCCACTTACAAACAAGATTACAAAAATAAAGGTAGCAATAATCGGAACTCATTCTATTAATCAGTGAACAATATACACAAAACAAAGAGAAAAGAAATTATTCTAGACTAAACAGATTTATTTTTTTTTATTGTCATAAAAGAAGATATTTTATTTTTAAAAGGAACCTTACCTTTCTTTTTTCAAAGAATGCATAACCGTCTTCCACAACCTGCAAGCACAGCAATTTGACAAAATATTACAAGACAGGTTGACATTTGTTAGTTTCCCTATGTTCACCAGATAATGAATAACCCCATGATGACACAGAAAGTAAAGTTTGAAGTCTAGACACTCACTAATAATTCCCTTCATCTTTTTTTAAATAACATATCAATGGGAGCAACTGGGTTTGATTTAGTATACATATTTCAAAGGCCTTCAATACGTATAAAGGCTTATCATGTGAAAAAAACTCTTGCTTTGTTAACATTCAATAACACTCAAGAGGAATCAAGATCAATAACAAACTGCAAACAGGAGGAAACAGGAAAATGATACCACATTCAGCAGGAAGCTTCAGTCACGCAAAGGTGAGAAGTGATGTTCAGGTTTTTTCGGAGGTGTGATTTTCATTTTTGCATGGAGGTGTAATATTCATCTTTGTTTGGACCTATGAATTTCATTTTCAAGTTCGGAGGTAATGTATGACATGAATTTTTTGTTAACTTTGGTTGAGAGTGTGCTTTCAATTCTTAAATTTGAAGGAGCAATTTACATTTTAACTCCTATAGGCCAGAACAACACACTCCTTATCCATTAACACCTTCTGCCAGACCAATAAAGAGCGCATAATTTTGTCCTCCCCTATTTAAATATATTTCTGTCCAGTCCTCCAAATCTATGTTTATAATATTGGTCAAGAAAAAAATTCACAGGACGATACTTTCTTTCTTTGTGAGATTTTAAAGCTGGAAGGTGTATTCTTAGAATGGCAGCGCATTGTATCACCGACGATTTTATATTTAGAATACAAATCAAGATTGTTAATCAAATCCCTCTACAAAACACCCGATCCTTCTGCATTCAATCCACTATCCATTTTCAGAATGTTGCTGGTGGTTATGTTTTGGTATGGGCAACGAAATAGCTCAAGATCCAAATTTATCTGTAATGCAAGAATCCCACAAATTCTGAATGACAGCATAGATTTAATTCTGGCGGTTCAGGAAAATCCATTAAATTAATTTTGGCAAATAAGTTTAGATTTGTATTATCTGTATTTTTGGTGCTGCTATAAATTTCTGTGTTCAGAAAAGTGATTTGCATTCCTGAGTTTCGAGATGTGATTTGCACAATACGAGGTAAGCTCCTGACAAGGTCAGTTTTTAAAGACTAATTGGGGCGGAAAAAAGCTTATAAAAAATAGGCTCAAACCTGGTGTGCCCTCGCAATCAAGCTGCAGCTGAAGCGTCGAAGGTATTCTTTCACAATGTCACCTCCAAAAGTGAAGGAAACCCCTCTGTCATTTTCTCCCCAGCCTGTGATATCCTGAAAATAATATAACTTTAGTTTTCAGATATATTTGACAAAATATCAAAAGAAAGATTTGCATTAGTCCCTCTTCTCTGTTCCCCTGAAAATGGGTAGCCCATCACTGACATCACTTTTGACACATAGAGAGTATATTAAGTTCAAAGCACAGACACTCTCTAACAGTTCACTTCACCTTTTTTGTTTTCCTCAGTACATTTCTCAGCTTCTAATATCCCAGAAATACAAACCAAGCAGTAAATAGAACATAAGCAGGTTCCACAGTTTGGGTGAAAGAGAAGACTGTTCATATTAAGAAGGTCACTTGGGAAAATCAAATTATACTCAGTCCTCTTGTAACTGGTCAATGTATGCTATCCATAGAAACACAAATATTATTCTATAAAGATACAGCGACTTCCAAGCAGGATTTCCGTCAGTGTATTCTGTTAAATGTTGAAAATCAGCCACTACTACCGGACAATGATGGTCAGATGATGCACCATCAAACAGATTGGTCTGTCAGCACCCCCCCCCCCCCCCCACACACACACACAAAAGTAAACAATAGACTTTCATCTTTCTAAATAGTCATCAAAAAGTAACAGAGGAGAAAGGGTGGAAAGGGTTTTAAAGATTGTGAATTTATTTACTAGTCACTCATACCTCATCTGGGTCAGACCATAAAATATCACAGAGAAGCCCATGGTCTGGGACATCACTAGGACGCTGCAAGTTACGTATCTGCAGAAAAGACAGATAAACAAAAGTTTCAGAACCTTAAAGTCCATTTCCTCCTTGTCCATAAAAAAATACTCTCTCCCAAGAACTGTTGAATGATGACTATTCATAATCTGCATCTCACAAGAAAATTTAAAAAATAAAATAGCCCAAAAGAACAGATGAAAACACTTTTGAAAGAGACAATTAAATAGGACAGAGATGAATAAATGAAAAATCCACTGGCAGAAAAATAAAATCAGACAAAATATTTCTGGAAAATATTTGTATCTCAAGAAAAATTAAAAACACCTTTTTTTCACACTCATTGTGTAAATCAGGTTCAAATGGAGTTTACTTAGTTTTCTTATAAAACCCAACAATTTAGAGCACTGATAATAACTAACGCAAACAAATCTTGCATAATCTAACTAAGATATGAAATACAAAATTTTAAAGATGTAAAAAAAATCTCTTCCATGAGTGTTGTAATATTTTCCACTTCTACCATTCAAACCTCATTCAGGTAGTCAGAAACCAAGCAAGGGCTTGTGGACTAAATAAAAATCTATTATCTTTACAAAGATGTAATTAGATGCAATCTCAACATAGCATACTATGCCAGGAGAATTAGGGTTAAATGCAGAAGTGAGATGGTCAAAGAAAAAAATAACAGTGAAAAAAACCCACAAGAGAACTTTTACATATATACAGCGTGACTGTACAATCAAACGGTATGAGATATTTTCAATTTTGATCCCTATCCATAATAATTTAAAGATTCTACTAAAAAAGTCAAGGACCATTAGACGTGAGGAAAACTGAATGTTTCAGTACAAAACATGTCTTGGTTGCCACATGAATTTTCTGTATGTGTTTGACTGCAAAGGCTTAAACAGTGCTCTGTTCAACCATACCACCCCATTATACAACTGAATTCTAACAAGTATGTTTTGTTAGTTATATGGTTTCGATAAAGCAAAGCATTAGATACTCAAAGCATTTCTGGAGAAAACTGCAAGCACACACTACACACACACAAACACATTATTCATCAAGTAAAAGAATGAGTAGATTGATATCTTTACAAACTTGAAAGGTTACGAAATAGGCCTAATACCCGAGTACTTCTATAGCCAGATTTTGCAAGAACTGTAACAAAACCAATTTTATCTGTACTTTAAAAATATCTAACTGATACAATGTTAGCAAAAGAAACATTGCCCTCAGCAACAGCTTGAAAACGTATCCATTAAAGTTAAAAGGTAATGTATGGGTAAAATGTATACCAAATGTAATATGATAGCAAACACAAGAAAGACCAACAGACACACTGACAAATTAATGTTCACTGACAGACAAGTGTTAAGATTGATAGCACAAGAGAGACAAGTACTTCAAATAATTTCAAAGGACTAGATCTGCTAGCATTAAAATATTCACAGTAATAATATTTGCATTTGAAAGTGAACATAAGCTAGTTATTCATATACTACTTGATGCACATATTATGGTCCACAGGGAGTATTTTTTCCTCTTCCTAAAACAGCAAGTGAGAATACAGAAGTGAAAAACCAAAAGTGAATTTAAAATGTGACTGTTAACATCAGTGAGATTACCATCTCTATTTTTTGTTAAACAAAACTATCATATCATGCAATCAAACAGACTACATAAAAAATAAAGTAATCTGAAAAATTTACTGTGAAAACAGATTTTCTAAGTAATATTTCCAATTCTAAGGAGTCCTCCAACTCCAATGACATTTCTCAATACCAAAAATCCAAGATCAAGATACACAAGGTAGTTACTTTCAAATTTTGAACAACAGGATTCTTTCTTTTCATTCCTTTCTCAAAAGCCCTAAAAGTCGCTGCTCCACTTGCAAACTGACTGCCAATCTAAATTTCAAGTGTTCAGACCAAAATACCTTTAGAAAGTATCTGATGGAATTCCTAACAATGAAAGATTTTACTCTCAAGGTAAACAATCTACTATCATAAAAATGTGCTTTAGTTAAATTTACAAAAAGAAATGTACATTTATAGTTTCATTCAATTTAAATGTTCAAGAAACATTTTAAAAAGGAGTCAAACCAATCATCATGGCTGCCTGACAAACTTTACTGTGAGGGGAAAAGGACAGGTGTGTATTTGTGTATCTGTGTAGGTGCAGGGGAGGGGAGATAAGAGGCATATTCCCACAGATACAACCTACTACACTGTGCAAGAAAAGCTCTTTCTGTCAAGGCACAATCCTTATGTATCATGAAACAAACCGAGGTTGACAATGAACTCAAAAACAGACCCAACAAAAATCGACATTTGGAAAAAAATCTAATTGTGGATGTGAACTGTTGTGAATGCAACCAATTTGTGTTTCGTGCACTCACATGACCGTATACGGTTACAAGCGCAATAAAACTCTTACTTAATTAAACTAACTATAGGGTTCGAGGCCCAGGGCTATGCTAGGACTTTTAGATACAAAATTCTTCAATTTCAGATATGGTCTAAATGAGGAACACTATCAATGATTTTAAAAAACTACATAAAAAAACATTTGAATGTATTTTAATGCTTCTAATATTGGCTATTCTAATATAACTCTTTTATTTTTCGATACTATTGTTGGTTAGATAGTAGTTCTTCAACATACATCATTCTACCTGTGCTCATTAAAATCCTCAAACATATTGTAACAGTATTATATTTTGGACCACAATATTTTGGTGTAATGTTGTTGAGTGCCCTGCAAGAGAAACTATTGTTGATGCTTGAGGAGAGCTCTTCATTGAAAGAGTGACTGCACTTGGTGTGTTGCGGCTGATCAACATGGTGCGGAGGTGTTCTGTGTCTTGTGTTCATATTAAGGTATCTGTGGTCCATCCCGTTTGATATCGACCATCCACACCTCTACACATAAGCTATATATTGGTGCATGTGTCATAATCTCTAACCTAATAATCCTTCAATTCGTTATCCAACCTTCATTTTCAAATTCATTTGAAAAATGAGACCAATATTGACATCATGCTTTCACTCTAAACTCAATAAAATAAACACTTTTTTTCTTCAATGGGTCAACTTATTTGTATGTGTCTCCCATCTTCCAATTTTAAACATACTGTCATACTCTCGAGATTCAGATAAAAAGCAAGAAAAACTTTCTAAAAAAGAAGGATGGACCAAAACGGTACATAGATATATTCCCCTACAAGCAAGTCAGAATGTACATGTGTGCGTTAAAATGAACAGTTAGTATCTTTCTAAATCCAACTTTTCTAACAGCAGCAGCAGTCCTGTAGATATGGTGGAAGAGTGAGAGAACTGAGCTAGCACTGAGTTAGTTGAGACAGTAAAAGGGTGAATAGCTACCAGCAGAATATGCACCCAAAGCCCAGCGTGAAACAGGTTAGGGGACAACAAACTGATACTGGTTACATGAGTGAGAAAAACCTCCATACATGGTTGAATTATATATATCATGAAGTGATTGGTACGTTAGAGTGATAAAAGATTAATAGAGTGATTAATGAGCAAGGCACTGAAGAGCCAGTTGTTATTCACACAGACAGACAGTTTTCCACAACTGTATTTTATTATGTCAGAAGTAAAACAACATCCTTGCTGGTACAGTGGTCTCCGCCTATGAACACATCTGCCTGAGGACCTGCCCTCGCAATATGATGTAATCTTTTTTGCAAACTATAATCTACACGAATGAGAATCGGTTCTAAACTTGGAAATCCGCCTTAAGAGTTAATTTTCTCGACACTACTTCAATTTCAAGAAATGCTAACTTTTTTTCAAGGCAGGGAAAAATACTTATGTCTAAGAAGACACAATAAGAAGATAGGTGGGGTGAAGTGTGGGCACAGCATCGAGGCAGGACAGACTTTCTTACCGCTCCACTTTTCCTTCTCTCTCACCTCCCACTATTCCTTCTCTCGTCTACTCCTATCCCTTTTTTCTCACCTCCCATTATTCCTTCTCTTACCTCATACCATTCCTTTTCTCGCCTCCCAAAATTCCTTCTCATAACCCCAAATTTCCTTCTCTTACTTCCCACTGTACCTTCTCTCACCTCTCACTATCCCTTCTTTCATTTCCCACTATTCCTTCTCTCTCACCTCCCATCGTTCCTTCTCTCACCTCCCATCGTTCCTTCTCTCTCACCTCCCATCGTTCCTTCTCTCACCTCCCATCGTTCCTTCTCTCACCTCCCATCGTTCCTTCTCTCACCTCCCACAATCCCTTCTCTTATTTCCCACTACCACCCACTATTCCTCCTCTCTCACTTCCAACTATTCTTCTCTCACTTCCAACTATTCTTCTCTCACTTCCAACTATTCTTCTCTCACTTCCAACTATTCTCCTCACACCTCCTATTACCTTCGAATATTCCTTCTCTAACCTCCAACTTCCTACCACTATTCCTTTGATGTTACCTACCACTATTCCTTCTCTCACTTCCCACCATTACCATCCCTTCTCTTTCACTTATCCACTACTCTTTCTCTCTCACCCGCCATCTATTACTCCCCTTCCACTAGTTCTCTCTCACTCACTCCCCTTCCTGCTATTTCGTGATTACATTCAGCTCAGACCACTTACAAAAACAAAGTCTCTGTGGCTGACAGAGCAATGGATGTGATTCAACGCTGTAGCTGATAAGGCCAGTGGAAAGAAAAAGAAAAAGGGGAGGTGTTGTACCATCTATGCACTACATGACACTACACGCACTAGCAGAGAGCCTTGGTGATTCATGTCGACAGTTTTGACTGGTTCAGGCTTCATTTCCTTTCATAAAAAGAGACTACCCCCCCCCCTCACCTTCCCTCCAAAACAAACCAAATTTTAAAACACAACAAAACAAACCTACAACTTTTCCTTCAATAAGGCATTACAGTTATCAAAAGATTATATTTCAGTTAAAATTAGCAAATGACCAAATCAAAAAGCTCTCCAGGATGAGCAGAATATAGCACCCTGGAAATCTGACTAAAAGCCCACCCGCATAAGAACCAAGCTTTATTTGTCCCCTAATATATGGGTACTCAGGCGGAGACTACTGTGTTATTTTGCGTGTTGGTGAGTATATCTTTCTCAAAGCAGTACCTTGCAGTGACCAAAATGGGAATTAGTGGAAATCATGGAATGTCATTACACACCAGTCTCTACACTCACAGTGTGTCACATGACGACCTTGTTAAGTAGTCTCTAGCTAAAGGGAGAAAAAAATTGTCCAGAAGTGGAACAAAATAAGCAGCTGAAAAAGAATATGCAAGTCTCAAACTTCTGAAATATGACTAAAATGATGTTTTTAAACATAGTGTTTTCTCTCAACGGTTAAGCACTGCCACCACCCATTACAGATGATACTTCAGGGAAGACCATGCACTTCCCATACAGCATTATTACTGTAAGAACTAAACAGAAACCCCTAAAATAAAGGTACTAGACTTAAATATCATCTGTTCTTTTGTTCTTTCAGAAAGATGACAAAAACTATCCTGTTTGAACTCCATACAATAACCATGGACGCATATAGGCAATTCAGAAAACAGCTTCTCTCTGCCGGTTTCAACAAAACAGAAAATGACAGAAAACAAAATAATTATATAGAAAAGACACCTCTCCTATGCCTATGTGGTGTTTGAGTGGAACCTCACAGGTCAGACAGTTGATAATGTGAGTTGCTACAAATCTGCTCAGGAATCAAAATTGAATTAAATATTTACTTCCTCCCTTTCTAAAGAATAAAAACATTTTTGTTTCAGCCATATCAACACAATCTAATTTGGCATTTTGTATTAATGATCCAGGCAGCTTTTACAGATAGCTTAAACATTCAAATCAATAAAGGACTTCCTGGGTAGGCCAGGAAGATAAAAAGAAACTTTTTAAAAGGCAAAAACAGAGGCCGAAAGCAATATTCAACACTAGTAGCACAAAAAGCCAACGAATTTATGAAATGTCTTTAAACAATCTTTTTTTTTCCACGGTTAATTACAAAAATAAATAAAGGAACTGTAACAAATTACAAGGAAAATTCACACGCTAACGTCAAGCCAGAGAAACAAATGTTAATTCCCGAATTCTGAAAATTGAAACTTGACTTGGAGATGAAATTTGAAAATGACAAAAGGCGCTCACCTGATCCAGATCTGTAAGGTCGGGAGAGAGGCCACCATGCATGCACAGAATAGTGCTATCCACTATTGCAGCTGTTGAAACAAATAACAAGCAGAGAGTAATAACAATAAGGAATATATTTGAGTGTTGGAAAATAGAGAAGCACATCTACACTCTTATCTACTATCATTCAATGTAGGGAATTAGAGCAAGACTGACAAAAACAACATATGGAAAGAAAGCAAGTAACCCCTTAAAGTAGGGCCCTCCAACCACCTTTGATTTGAAATTTGTATAAAAGTTCAAAGACTCATTTCTTGTTTTGTTTGTTTTTGTAAAATTTTTACGGCGCTCGCAACTGCATAGGGTCATATGAGCGTGCAGGACACACTTAATATTTTCAGTTGGTAGGAAATTTTGAATTTTGCCCGGGTGGCGGCCGAAGCCTACTCTTATCGATTTTAGACCACCAAGGGATCTTTAACGTGCGCAACTTGCACACGGGCCCTCCGAGATTTTTCGCCCTTGTCCGAGAAGGCTAGGTGTAGATCTTTCCTACCAGAAGATCAGGGGTGTGGCAGAAAGACAGCAGTAAGGAGGAGCCAAGGAGTAACAGTAGAAAGGCTGCAGAAAGAGTCAGGAGCCCAGAGGAGGGGGCAAAGGAGGTGAGGGGGTGGGGGCAGAAAGTGGAAATGAAAGCAGACAACAGAACATTGCTAGAGAGCAGGAAAGGAGGTGAAAGGAGACAATTTTAGAGAAGAAAATTTTTTGGTCGCTACTCGGATTCGAACCCGGGACCTTTGAATGAGAGGCCAACACCTTAACCTCTAGGCCACGAGAGCCCCCGACTCATTTTTATTATGGAAGAATAAATGAGTTTATGACTTTCAGATCTGCTTGCCGTATCACACAATTACATTTGACAATATTTGGACACATCATCAGCTAGCATGACACCAGTTGATCCATTTAACGCACTACACCTTTTACACATTACATCACATTTCATCAAGTTGTTAATACTGACCAAAGGATACTGAGTAGTAGTAGTAGTATAAGGTTTTACGGCGCTCGCAACTGTTAAGGTCATATGAGCGCGCGAAACACAAGTTGTTCACCTCTGCGAAAGTTCACTTTACGACTGGTAACTAATTTACTTTAAAATGCTAAAAAGTTAAAATATTCAAATTCGGTGTAAATACATTTGTGATCTAAAACAACTTTTAAGTAACAATAAAAATTTTAAATAATATCAGATTCACTTTACAACTCGCCATAAAGGCCAATGGCCTTTATAAAATTTAAAATTCTGCTGGGAACAACGACGGAGAAAATATCCTGCAATTTCTTGCATTTATAATATTTCCTTCGGATCTCTCCAAAGTCTAGACATTCTGTTAAAATGTGTCTAATGGTAAAATCTGTGTCGCATCCGACACAGAACGGCTTTTCCTCTCCCTGTAGGAGGTATTTGTGGGTCAGGCCGTGTGTCCGATGCGCAATCGAGTAAAAATGACTTCGTCAAAGGATACTGAAAAGAGAGAAATAAAGTGACAAGTTGAAAAAAGATTCTTAAAATTATCATGGACTAGCAAAGAGAAATAAAACAATAATTTGAAGTCACAAAGTTATTTTCTTTTTTTTTCTTTTTTTTCTTACATCCTACGCAGAATTTTGTAGACGTTGAAAGCATGTATCATGTATTTCTAAAAAAACTATTAAAAAAAACACAGTAAAAGCCAAGGAGGAATCGTTCAGTTCACCCTTGGATGAACTTTTTACCTCATTATGAAGCATTGACTGACCCAAAAAAGAGTCAGGGAGGTTGACCAAATAAATCAATAAAGTGGCCTGCCCAAACAGAATTAATCTTTAGAGTCAAGAAACACAAGCAACCTCAAGCACATTGGCACACAGCAATTAGGTATTTTCTGATAGCTGTTGCCAAGCTACTGTTTGTAATAGGTCCAGTCCCTACGCCTACACCTCCTCACAGTTACTCTTTTCACACACATACACAGGGGACTCTAGTGGCCTAGAGGTTAGGATGTTCGCCTCTCATTCAATAGGTCCCGGGTTCGAATCCGGATAGTAACAGAAATTTTTCTTCTCTTAAAAAAAAAATGTGAGGCAGCAAGGTGAAATCAGGCGCTCGTCAAAATACCAAAATCGGAGAAATGGGTATTTTTTCCGCCAGTTTGGAAATTTTTATCGAATTTTTATTTTTTGGCAAAACTTCTTTTATGTCCATATCAAAACACATTTCCATGTGAATTTTACTGATTAAAGGCACAACATACAGCGACTCCAGTGCTTTCTTGTTGTATCTCCATTTTTTTAAACAGTGAAAATGTGACTTCTTCTTAGGCTCATTCTTTGTTATGAACTGTTTTCACTGTTATTAAAAATGGAGGACCCTCGGGGCAGTGCCACTGACTGTAGTGTCTTTAGGCCATTCCCAAAGGGGGGACATTTCTCTTTCAAGCACAGTAGAATAGTAAATGGGCTGATTCATCTTGTCACGCTCATAACTGTGCCTTATCTACAACAGGGAACTGCTGCTTTTTCTTTCCTAATCCTTACTATTGTCATTTGTTCTCTACTTCTTTTGTATGTTTGTCCCACTCTTGTGACCTGCTATTCTGAGGTGCCTTCATAGTAGAAGCAAACTTTGTGCTGTTGAAGCAAAAGAGGTGAGCAGAGTAAGTCTGATTCCCTGTAAAGACTTTTCTGTTGACACCCACCCCTTGGCGCTTATATGAACTTATGCAGTTGCGAGCGCCGCAAAACCCTTTACTTCAAAAAAAAAAATGGAGGGGGGCTCTCGTGGCCTAGAGGTTAAGGCGTTCGCCTCTCATTCAATAGGTCCTGGGTTAGAATCCGGATTGCCACGGGGAAATTTTCTTCTCTAAAATTATTTCCTTCACATCCTTTCCTGCTCTCTAACAATGTTCTGTCGTCTGCTTTCATATCCACTTTCTGCCCCCATCGCCCTCACCTCCTTTGCCTCATCCTCTTGGCTCCTGACTCTTTCTGCAGCCTTTCTACTGCTACTCTTTGGCTCCTAACTGCTGCCTTTCAGCCACACCCCTGATCTTATGGTAGGAAAGATTTACACCTAGCCTTCTCGGACAAGGGCGAAAAATCTCGGAGGGCCCATGTGCAAGTTGCGCACGTTAAAGATCGCTTGGTGGTCTAAAATCGATAAGAGTAGGCTTCGGCCGCCACCCGGGCAAAATTCAAAATTTCCTACCAACTGAAAATATTAGATCTAAGTGTGTCCCGCGTGCTCATATGACCGTATGCAGTTGCGAGCGCCGTAAAACACTTTACAAGCAAAAAAAAAATATCATATTACCTTATGCAGTTGCGAGTGCCATAAAACACTTACAATAAATTAAAAACACACACACACACAAAAGTAACACTACATTCAGGTGTACCAGTATTTCTCTCTCCCTCTCTCTCTCTCTTCTCTCTCTCTAAAAAGCACATATGCACATACACACACAGACAGACACACACACACACACACACACACACACACACACACACACACACAAGCATACACACACACATATGAATAAACAGACACATACACAAACGAACAAACACTGACACATATTTCTTTTTTATCATCATATGAAAGAAAGTGGTATCAATTCTATCACTTACTTAATTAACTTCATAATGTTCCTTAACATTAAATTCAGCTAAAGGTAAGCTTTAATTTACACTCACAGACTGGTAGACAATTGAAGCAGTCAGTAAAAGTTTTCCACAGCTTGATGTTATAACGTCGTTTACATTCATCATAGAAGCCATAAATTCTGAAATGAAACCATGGCAAACATATCACCAAATGCACATAGGTATAACTCAGTGTTTCCACATTCACAAAATAAAACATTCAATGACCACAACTGCTTTCATAACGAGACAAATATGAGCATAAGAAAATGATAATGCAAGTCGTCCCTTAACATGGAAGAGACCTCTACAAAAAGCACAAGAAATTGCTAGTTGTAATGTTAATAACTCTAAAAAAAAAGGTTCAAATTTAGTACTGTTTCTGTGAAATGAAGGAGATGAACTCTGAACTTAACTTCCACGAATTTAAGTCTTTATTGCATTAAAAAAACAAGAGACCATGTAATATAAAAAAAACAATTGAAGTCAATATTTCTCATATTTCGATCATCACTCACCTGTTTATTGAGGCACACTCGTGGTTGCCTCTGAGCATGAAAAAATTCTGAGGATACTTAATCTTGTATGCCAAAAGGAGGCAGATGACCTCTAAAGATTGTCGCCCCCTGAAAAGAGAATGAAATCAAAGGAGGCTCATGAATGGAGACTGAAAACAATTTTGAGCTTTAAATTCACAAACAACAATTGACTTTGGTCTCTGCACATCGGACTTCACTCATAAGACATTTAATATACAGTGGAAAAAATATAGTTGACCCTGCTCTTTTAAGTTTTAGTGAGAGTTTTTACTGCACTTACAACACAAAAAGGCCATACATATATGAGTGCTGAATATTAGAGGTTTACAAGAGAGTAACAAACGCAGCAAAAAATAAAAAGACAAGGATAATAGATGCTTGAGAGGAAAGTAATAATAATAATAATGAAGATCATTTCTATAGCGCCCACTCCCGTGTAAACACAGCTCTAGGCGCTTTACATAAATGCATGTAAGAAAAATATTCATGCACGCGACACACACACACACACACACTCATATACACACAAACACACACACATATACACATACACACACACAAACACACGCATACACACTCACGAACACATAACACGCACACATGTGCACACACATGTATGCCAAACACACACACACACACTCACACACACACACATCTACTTGCTTAGGAGCAAACCACACCAGAGCTGAGCACCCACCAACCACCAACAGAACCTGCTCGACTAGCCACCTGTCAGACAATCACCTGTAAAAATGACCACTTCCCATTTCCGTCCCTTGCAGGTTTTTTTTACATTATAATTGCATTGTGTATGGCATCCACCTCTCTAAGACAGCAACTTTTCTCCTCGATAGTGGGTGGCCATCTTTAGAAAAAAATTAAAACTGTCAAAAGTCAGCTCAGTAGCCTTTCATACATCCACCTAGTGTATTGTTAAACTTTATGATTTATTTCATTGTCAAACTTTCAGCGTATTTCCTTTTTGAACTAGTCAAACCTGCTTCACCGGCCACCTGTCCTAGACAATCATATGAACAAATGAACAAATGACCACTTCCCACTTTCCCCCTCACTTTTTTTTTCTACATTACAAGGACACTGTCCAAGAAAACGTCAACTTGTCTAAGACAACCACCTTTGTCCTCCACAATATATGGCTGTCTTGAACAATTTTGATGGTAGTTTGGTGTCAACGTAATTTGTGAGATCTGTGTCTGCCTCTAGTTGATGACGTAAAATGCTTTTCAGGCCTGTTATTGTTCGAGCTGCTTGTGTAGCCCAATATTTTCCTCCATTTCTTTATGATAAGTACCAACCACGTTCCTGATGTAGTTCATCATCATCCGGTGCCTTGCCGACTGGCGTGGGCGATCATGGACCTCCACTTCCATCTGTCTTTCGATGCAGCAATGGTGTCTGTTGGTTCTTGCTGCTCCCAGCCATGTTGTCATCTTGTCCAGTATCTTTTCCCTCTGTCTGCCTCTACCTCTCTTTCCATCAAACTTTCCTGTTGTTACAATGTTCTCTAATGCTTCTTTCCGCATTGTGTGTCCGAAAAAATTTGCCTGTCGTTTTCTTATATTCGTGATAAGTTGTTTTCTATAATTTGCTTCAACCAGGACTTCTTCATTTGTTTTTCTAGCTGTCCATGGGATACGTAGCATGCGTCTCATGAACCACAACTCTGCCGCAACAATTGTTCTTTCCAGCTGTTTATTGATTGTCCACGCTTCGCACCCGTATAATAGGATTTGCTCGATGTAACTTTTCATTACTCTTTTCCTCACTTCCAGTGACAGATTGATGTTTGTTAGTATCTGTTTCATCTTGTGGAAGGTTGCTTTTGCTTGGCAAATGCGGCTACTCCTGATTAAATCCTTTCCACCTGGTCTAAAGTACAGCCAAAAGTTGACAGATATCAGTAATTCCATGTAAGCAGCATTCAGCCTTTATACCTGTATCCTAACCATTTACGGAGGTAAGACAGCAAAAATTTGAGGTACTGCACTGTTTAATCTAAAAAATACAATCCTGAGGTGTCCAATGATTCTACACATTTCAACAGTCTAAAAAAAAAAAGAAAAAGCCATGACATCATATTTATTGTCTACAAATCACAAAGCTGGATTTTTTTAACCCTTCCAGCCCCATGCGCGTATATTTTCAGCAGCCCTTGTACCCCCACCGTCCCAGGAGCATATATTCTCAAGTTTCGGGGGGTACTGAATTTGCACATTTTTCGAAATTAGCTAACCCAATTAAACTTTAATTTTCATAATATTTGTTCATTTACCTTTAAACATTGTTAGATGTCATTATCTAAACCTCAGTACAAAGATAATACATCACTTTAGAATGCATGCCTCTTTTTCTGAAATACTGCTGTATTGGCTGGGGTTACGAGTACACAAAAATGGCTGGGGCTGGAACGGTTAATAAGTGCCCCTGTAATGGTACCATTTTTTATTTATAGTGCTCAATAAAACACCTTAAAATAGCTGCCAATAACAGTTCTTACCTGTCTACATAATCCCCCAGAAACAAGTAGTTAGCAGCAGGTGGATATCCACAGGTATCAAAGTGTCTCAGTAGATCATCATACTGTCCATGAATGTCACCAATAATATTGACAGGAGCATCAAGCTCCACAAGCATGGGCTGCTCCATGAAGATATCTCTTGAAGTAATACATAAATGCCGGATATGGGCTTCAGGTAGTTGAACCTTAAATAAAATAAAGAAAGAATGCTCAGAAAATGCTTACCTTGCACTTATGTTCATGATGTCATTGATTTAGCAAACACAATTAAGGGCACTCATTTTCCTCCCCGAAAAAATAAATCAAAAGAAGTAAAAATGTCTCTTACTTCTATACTTTCTTTTAATTATTTGGTTCATAAGAAAACAATCAGCTGTATCCTTTTTACAGCTCTTAGAATGCTTACTTTCACCCCTCAAGAAGAGTAGCCAACCAAGTTATGGTTATGGTCACCAAAAAATGACAATTACTTAGTTCAGTATACATGGTCTTACCAAAGATTCTCTACTACCAAAATGGTTAAATTGCCCTATTTCGCATCTGGGCGAGACTTGGACGCTACCTTGTCTTAGCGCGTGACGGCCCGTGATGCGAGTGTAAACAAATGTTCCAGCGCTGAGCTGAAAGCGAACAATTTTGTCTGGAGAGAGAGAGAGAGAGAGAGAGAGAGAGAGAGAGAGAGAGAGAGAGAGAGAGAGAGAGAGAGAGAGAGAGAGAGAGAGGGGGGGGGGAGGGAGAGGAAGAGAGGGAGGAGAGAGGGAGAGAGGGAGAGAGAGGAAGGAGAGAGGGAGAGGGAGAGAGGAGAGGGAGAGAGGGAGTGAGTGAGAGAGATAGAGAGAGAGAGAGAGAGAAGGGGGCAGGGTTGTTTGTTTTTATAATAAGAATGACTGATTCCCAACCATTTCTCTCTGAATCGTTTCAGGCTGACCCGGTGCAATACAGTCATTATTGTACACATGCATATTATCACCATCCCATCTTCCAAATTTCACCTTCTGTGTCCCATCTCTCACCTCCTGTTTCCCCCATCCCATATCCTGACTTAAATTCTGTAAGCTTGCTTCGTTTTTTCTTCACATCGTGGGATGGAACTCTTGAAACGGGTCAAAATATTAAATAATATACATCACTGTCGCCAATGCCCAAATCAGATGTGCTGTTCAGGCACATGTTTTCAACAGTGTGATTCACTACTGTTTTTATTCAGAACCAAGGTCTGGTCTCCATGAGATTTCTTTGACGTATTCTCTACGGAAGTCAGTTTATTTTACTTTCTGTAACTGTACAATTCGTCCAGCACAACAGGGATCCATAATCTATACATATTATATTTGTGAAAGTCCGTCGCTTTCAAAGCCCAAAACTTCAGAACCGCTTAACTTTCGAATTTGAAAAAATGAATGGTGGTTCAGAATCATTTAATGGGTGCACAGTTTTATTGAGGAGCCTGAAGTCACTATAGTTCAATTTTCAGTTTTTCATTAGTTTCGTTTAGATCTAATCTTGGGAAAGTCCGTCTTCTAAGACAACATTGTGAACAAGTAAGGCTTCCTGTCACAAAGAGTGCAAGCACTGATCCCAAAATGACTTGGCGATTGATTATTTTGAGTCCATTCATCGAACGGGAAACCCAGCTGTCTCTGTCTCTACATATTATATTTGTGAAAGTTCGCCACTTTGGCCGCCTAAAACTTCCGAACCACTTAACTTTCAAATTTGACAAAATTAATGGTGGTTCAAAGTCATTATAGGGTACACAGTCTTATTGAGGAGCCTGAAGTCACTGTAGTTTAATTTTTAGTTTTTCATTAGTCTCATTCAGATATAATCTTGAGAAAATCTGTCTTTAAAACGCCATTGTAAACAAGAGAGGTTTCCGTACACAAGCCGTGTGCACTGTTTCCATACCATTGAAATTCTGAAGTGTATAACCACGAAAGCAGAAAAGAGAATTAATCTATACATCTCTATATCTTGATTTTCTCATTTTTGGCATCTCTCAAGATTTAGGCAGGCACTAATAGATTTTACTGTCTTTGCTGTTCATGACAACACTATCTTGAAACATGACTACAGTGACATTGAAGGGTCATATAAAAAACATGTCGAAAAAAATTTTAATTTTCGCAAAAAATGTGGTCACCATGGCGGCCATCTTGAATTTTTTTATGATTTCAGATTTTCTCATTTCTAAAAAAAAACTATTCAAGATACAGGCCTCAGATTTGCAGTGCACATACTTAACAAACTGGGATGTGTCATAATGAAAAGAAAACATGATATTTAAGACTATTTTAAGGATTATACATTAGTTAAAGCCCGCTCTGATAACACAACCAAGAATTTTGTCAAATTCAAAGACAAATGCCCAAAATCTCTTCGTTATGTTATATAGACACCATTTCTACACGTCCTCGCAAAATATCATATAAATATCTTGGAAAATAACTTGGCAATTTGAGAAAATCTTAAGAGACCCATGCTGAAAATGCCAAAGGGAGAAAAGCATTGAAATGACTGTGTCATCTGCTCTTACGGAAATTCCCGAATCTATTTGGCAGGATCTGGTGACCTATTTCAACGGTTTACAGTGTTTTTGAATGAATGCGTACGGTGCTGGGAGTTATTTTACCAGATTTAGCACTAAATGCCGTTTTCAGTGATATACAGCATGCCAACCTTCTATTCAAAGTAACATATTGGTTGCTACAATGTTTTATAACCCAAAACTAACAACGTAGCCCTTTTTGTGATCCTAAAAGATCACCCCTAGGTTACAAAAACAGAAAATTTGTATATTTATAGTGTTTTCGAAGCTTTGGAAATATGTGGAACATGTAGTATAATGATCTCAGATTATTTCTAACCCAAAATCTGGAAATCGATTTTTCAAACCAAAAACACCCTAAAAATGTATTAGTGCCAGCCTTAATTGCTCCATTCCAGTACAGTGCAAATATAGTAAACCAATGACTTTCAGTTGACGTTAATGCACTGATCATTCCTTTCATCGAAAGGGGGTCCAGCTAGTATTATTATTACGATGTCAATTTGATCAGATCATTGCAGTCAGAATCGAACTTTCATGCAAAAAATACAACAATCTCACTAACAAGCTGTCGTTTGAAATCACTAAGAAGAGACACCACAAGCAGCAGTTTGAATCTGCCAGACAATGTTATAAAAGATCGTAACTTCAAGTCATAAAGAAATTGTAAAGCCAGACTGTGTTGCCACAATACGTTCATTTGTTAAGTTAGGCAAAGAAATTTACTCTCATAGCGCAATGTCATTATTTGTCTGGTAATTCTGTAATTAGTATGATGTCGACCAGTGACAACATGCTAGACTAACTACCAGTGGCGAAGCATCTATATAATCAAATAATCACTGCTTCCCTTCCTAATTTTGAAACATTGTCGCTGTCAAATTCACCCATAAACGTAAACCTCATAAATTAAATGTAAAAAGACGTTCATAATCAACAATGAACAGTATGCCTAACATTAAAAACGGTTTCACTGCCACAGAAATAGCCTGCTCATCCCTCTTGGGCCACTCCATAAGCAGTCGCAAGCTTTGATTAAGTAAGCTTAAAGTGAGGCTGGAAGAGTCTACCAATAGAGTTGAAGGGAACATGTGCATAGCAGTCAAGACTGTTTCATTGCCACATATACCCTGTTCACCCCTTTGGGGCCACAGTTATAAGCAATCCCAAGCCCTGATTATGTAAGCTAACTAACACTGGTCGAGTCTACCTCACAAATGTGAGGGGAACTAACTCCTAATAATCTCTTGACTGCTGCAAATGCTTGTTTTTTTTCCTCAACTTTTTACCGTCCTATAATCATATCGTGACCTCGATTATGACACCAGCTCCTGGCCGCGAAAGGCTAGACAAAAACAGCCAAATGTGAAATTTAAAAAATGATAATTGTCGTGTTCTATCAAAGAGTTAGACTCACTGGTAGATCTATAACATACAGATCTAGTACTGACATCTCTGCTTCTTTGCTTTGTGTTTGTGTATTCACATCTAAAGTTAAATTTAATTTTAGTTGGAACTGATATTTAATAAGATACTTTCCCGATTATTTTGGCGGTTGAACATACAATATGAATTCTGGATTTGTTTTCATTCACAACTCAGAGTCGCCGCCTCGAGTAAGATTCTTGTGTGATATCTACAGGCCATATCTGGTCCCGTTTCACTTTGATTACCCTGTCAAACAAGTCAGCTTTTGCCCCTGCTAACTACGACACTATAACCATCGTTGCGATATCAAAAGACTGCACAGCAAACTACGTGAGTTCGATCGGTGAACATTTTATTTTTCTGTATAAAATCATTAAATTATTTTCCTCATTTTTGTTCGTTGATTTTCAGTTTTCTTTTCTTCCTTCTCATCCACAGCCCAAACCCTTTTCCCCCCTTTTGTTCGCATACACACCAAGCAGCTGGCGATGAAACCAACCTTGCTATACTTAGTGACGTAGTCCATCACGCACTAAGGGGCAAAGCTGGCCCGCCACGGTGTGGGACTATCTTGGTAGTAGAGAATCTTTGGTCTTACTATGCCATTAAGCATTCAGAAAATGTATAATCATATATTTGGAATTGATTTCAGAATGTTTTCAGGGATTTTATGACCCATAATACCAACACATTAAAATTGTTGACACCACAGAATTTTACCTGAAGTACTTGATGGGTATAAAATGATTCATTCAAACTTTTAAGCCAAAGCTTCAAGGCAGATTTTATTGTTGAACTAGGACGAAAGCCCACATCAGTGTCAGAGGCAAATATAGAACCTGGTCTCCGTATAAAAGCCTATGCCTATCAAACATTTGAAACGCACTAAAAATGAAATTAAAATGAAAAGGAAAAAATACATCTTAACAGATAAATCAGTCACCTGCTTTCCTGGCTGGTTCTTTGCACTCAGCAGTTGGGCAATGATGCCATCAAGGTCAACATGAGATCTGCTCATTTTTTGTGGTTAATCAGTACCAGCCAGCATGGGTTTTAGCTGTACTCTCTGTTCCAGAACAAAGAAAGATCTGTAAATTTAGAAGACAAAATAAGATTGTACCCAAAAAAATGTATGGCGAAAGGAATCTATAGAAAATATGACGTAGTCACATTTTCAGTAGCCTATACCACATTATTACAATTTATCACACAATTAACACTGAAACTTTTATCAAGGGAATGATTCAGCATCAATATTGGCCAAATATTTATAAATTCAAATAATTACTTGAATTATTATAAATCTAATCGATACCCCCAAACCTCATATTACTCCAAAACACTTTCTGAAACCGTCAATCTGCCTCAGTCAAGAAGTGTACAGTGACAGTGTATAGAGATGATTTTCTCTTTATTGCAACTGCTTAGTGTAAGACTCCACTATACACCATTTTGAAAAGTGACGTATGACAAGCCTTACACTAAGCAGTCGATTGGTCATCTGCTGCTTTATATAAGAGAAATGTTATACATATTGAATTACAACTTTGAACATTGCCAAATTGAATATAAATAGAGTTGATTGCTTGGAACTTCCCCCTGATTTCTTGAAAATAGTCCTGTCTGGTCACTTGCTGTCACAACTTACTTGTAAATCATAATCTTTATGACCGCAAAATTCTTTGATGTTAGTGACACCGAAACATGTATTGAGGCTGCCATTTCACATGGAGGAAAAATATGTTTTCAACTCAATGATCTTTGATGAGAGGATTTATTACAACTGACTTGCTCAGGACACATATATGCCACACAAGAGTGGTGAGTGGAAGTTCACCAAAACAATAATAAAAAAGAATTAAGTTTTCAACAAGGAAGAGTGTAATGTTACTGATATAATCAAGAGAAATAACTCTAAGAATAGTTATGATACAAAAAGATAATACATACTATTAATAATAAATTCAGTTAATTCCCCTTGACCATAATAATGTGATTTTTATTCTAACAACATGAACCCATCCACACACCACATTTGTGTTATATTATGATGTCACCGACTTTGGTTAATGCCCTCCGCAATGTCGTTACAGTAGCTAATCAGGAGGGACTTACGCTAGGCAGTAGACCCTGGTCAGTAAGGTGGGACTTAAGGCACGTAAACTGCTTCATGCGATCAACCTTCAACTAAACCGGCACCAAAAGTGTGTGAGTTGAGATCTCAAAAACATACTCACCCTGCCAGTTACTTGCTGGAATCCTCAGAAAGCACCTCAAGTTTCACAAACATATTCAGATACAACGTACTGTTAAGAAGAGGAGACAATGCCACTTTTCTGCATTGACAGAATATCATCCATACTTCGTCAAAGTCCAAAGCCTGTCATTTCTGCAACAGTGTCAAGTGATCCACTAGAAAAGGAAGCATCACAAAATTAATAAAATCAAGTAATAAAAGTTCTTTTCATGGTTAAAAGTTAAGAAATATATGAAATATTTTGAAGTCTAAGAGAAATCTTTTGATAAAGCCAAAAAGCAACAACTAGCAACTGCATAATAATAAATCTATCTATGAGAACAGTTTCGCAACAAAATGTGACCTATCTATTTTCTGATTTTGAGAAACGAAAATTTCTATTAGACCTGTTCTTCACACATTTACTGGATAGACGAGCAACTTACGTTTTCAAAGTAAAAATGATGAAAGGCTTGCTATATTCGATTTACAAGGACGAAATCTATTATCTTAGACTAAAGATTATTGCAGGGATGCCCACCCACCAGCATGTGTTAGTAATCAACAAATAAAAAATTAGTAATCTGGCTTTAAAATTCGTAAATGGCCATGGATAGTCTTCTTCCTTCAGGGTGTCAAGGACAGGGCTTGTAGTCAAGCAAATATACATTTACAAACAAAGGTGTGGTGAAAAAAAGATGTCTTTGCCACACACTCACCTTAGCAAATTGTTTCAAGTTTCAAACAATGACCCATTTTATAAAAAATTTCATTGGCCCAGGTTGTCACCCACAATAAAAAAGGGCAGGAATTTACTAACACCATGTCAACCTGAGCCTAATGTTTGCCTTACTCCTGACTTTGACACTTCTATAGTCCAATATTTTTCTTAGGGCAAAGTGAAACTGAGCAACCACAAGGGCCACAATTCAAAGAGGGTGTAAATGCTGTTTAAGTGACGTAGACTGTCAGGTATGGTAGTTTTCTCTTTTTTTTTTACACGAGGAAGGTTGGCAGTGGGTTGTGGTAGCCCACCTTTTACAAAATCGGAATCAATTCCACCAAATCATAACGGTGGGCAGCCCTGTTATAATTAATATTATCCTTTAAATTGATTCAAGAAGTCTCTGAACATTTCTGACATTATAAAGCTACAATTTTCTGGTAACTTCAAAAAGCCTTTAAAAAATGATCCAATGACACCAGTGTATCACAACTGCCATTATGATGAAAACAAAAGCAAAAGATAAAGATGATTTTTATAATAATCTGTTGTTTGTATTGATAGCAAGTCCAATTTAAGTCATTGCAAACTGTATTTTTCTGAATAGCTCTTCATTTTTCTTTCAGCTTTTAAACATAGTACAACTTTCCTTTGCTTAAAATTCAACACAAAGACATGTTAGACATGAAAAACATTGCAGTAAACTTTGCATTTTATTATCTTAGAACAGGAACTGAAAGAACTGCCTGACAAACTATTTCACAAACGAAGTCACGTCACTCAAGCAACTTGATTGGCATGCAGAGGACACCATGATGTTTCCATGAGAGGTTGACTGACAACTTTTCTTACATTTTGTTTTAAAAAAGCACTATTTTCTGCAATTCTTAAAATAGAAAAAACATCGAGTTTTGTGAGTAAAGGAAGTGATATCTGGAATTTACTTAAAATCTTGCCAGAGACGATGGTACACGTAGGCTACTAGTTTTGACAGTTAAACTTTCAAATATCATTTTTGTCACATATATGTCATCTCTCTCTCTCTCTCTCTCGCTCTCTTTCTCTCTCTCTCTCTCTCTTTAATAAAAGTAAAATATACTACAATTCGTAAAATTTGCCTACAATATGACTTTGAATGTCCAAAATAAATATTCCTCAAATTAGAAGGCTAAAAAAGGAGATAAATTATTAAGCGGGTGGCAAGTATTCCCCCCCCCCCCCCCCCCAACTGGAGCCGGTCACCTAGTACGGACTACCCAGGATTTATTTCACCATCAACAAGGTGTGTAGTTGCTCTGCGACTAGGAAGAGCCTCTAAGCCTCTGTTCTCAAAGAGAGAGAGAGAGAGAGAGAGAGAGAGAGAGAGAGAGAGAGGGGTAGGGAGGGAGGGAGGGAGGGAGGGAGGGAGGGAGGGAAAGAGAGAGAGAGAGAGAGAGAGAGAGAGAGAGAGAGGGAGGGAGAGGGAGGGAGGGAGGGAGGGAGGGAGGGAGGGAGGGAGAGAGAGAGAGAGAGAGAAAGAGAGCAACAAGGTATGAATGGCATGAAAATAAAACTAGATCTACATGTTGAACATGAATTTTGGAAAGCTACTTTAAAAAGGCAAAAGAACGGTATTAATTGTCATTTCAGCAGATAGTACAGGTAATTATAATATGCCTTCATATTAATTAAAAAGAAAGAGTTCATGAAAATTATTTGGATGAGACTTTTCAGTCTTAATCACCAGGAATCATTTTGTCAACTCACAAGGTCATTGTTCTAATCAAATTAATTATAATCTATTCGATGCATGACCAAGTAAGTTCAAGAGTGTAACAAAAGGTACAGAAACATTTCTAGTTAAAAAATTAGTTTTCTCAGGCCACAGCAATACAATTGCACCTTTTGATGCGAAATGATTACATGAAGTTCAGCCACTTTTTATGTAAGCATTTTACGCCGCTCGCAACTGCATTAGGTCAAATGACAAATGAGCGCGCAGGACCAATGATTATACATGACAAGATGGTCCACTCCTCTCTTTGAGCCAATTAAAAAAGTGTCCTCAAAATTCGGTGGCACCCTATTCGCAAATGTGCACCCTTTGCGAACAGAGTTACCCTACTCGTGTGGAAAAAGTCAAAGTGAAACTAACAACTTTTTGAACAAATAAGAATTCAAATTTCGGAAGAACGCTTTTTAAAAATGGTTACGCTGACAAAAAACCTTTTCCGGAGGAAGAGACGACTGTTTTCTTCGTTTAATTTGACTTAAATTGAGAGGCGAGAGGTCATTAAAATTTTAAAAAACCTAAAACTCTGCACTGAACGAACCTGAAAAGCTGATGAACAGCAGTCGATCTGCACACGCAAGGAGGTGCTATTCCTATTCTTCTGGAGAAACGAAAGAGAGCTTCAAAACAAACACTGCAGCACCATCTGAAGCAATGAGTGGACTTCCACGGATACTTTTTGGGCTGAGTGGACCACTATCTTTGGCAGGACACATTAAACATTTTCAGTTGGTAGGAAATTTTGAATTTTGCCGAAGTGACAGCCAAAGCCTACTCTCTTATCAATTTTAGACCACCAAGGGATCTTTACTTGCACACGGGCCCTCCAAGATTTTTCGCCCTTGTCCGAGAAGGCTAGGTGTAGATCTTTCCTACTAGAAGATCAGGGGTGTGGCAGAAAGACAGCTGTAAGGAGTCAAGGAGTAGCAGTAGACAGGCTGCAGAAAGAGTCAGGAGCCCAGAGGAGGGGGCAAAGGAGGTGAGGGGGAGGGGGCAGAAAGTAGAGACGAAAGCAGACGACAGAATATTGCTAGAGAGCTGGAAAGGAGGTGAAAGGAGACAATTTTAGAGTCGAAAATTTTTCGGTCGCTACCCGAATACGAACCCGGGACCTTTGAATGAGAGGCCAACACCTTAACCTCTTGGCCAAAAGAGTCCCCGAAATGATACTCTGATAAAAAATAAGCTTATTTAAATTTGATAATTTTGAATACCATTGTGCAGGTACAAAGAACAATTTGGGAGCTAAACATTCGGAAATTGACCTATTATATCCCCTTTCGAACCCCAGGTCATTCATTATAACAAGAAGAGCGTCTAGAAAGGTATTCGAAAGGGCGTAACTACTCGCAATGTCTATTATCACAGCTTATTATGAGAGGGGGTTATTCATATGTGTTTGTAACACTTTATAAATAGGAAAGCTATGAAAGATCGAGCATTATTTTCATCTTCGATTAACACACTCCCACGCTATTCATGGCGAAAACATACACGTTTCCCGGTGTGCGCACAGTACACCAACAGTACACACTGAGCGACCCCGGCAGCCTGCCCGGAACGTCCAACGTACTCGGTTGCTGATAAGATTCGCATTTCACCACAGATGCAGGACAAGAGTTTTAAAGGAAAACAAGTGACTAGATCTATCTAAAAGCTCTTGGTTCTAGAATCTTAATCTATCTGTACAGATTTTAAATTGTATTAAACAAAAACGATGAACACGGTGAACGCAGAGTCTGGGTAGTCAGGCAGTCATTTTGACATAAAACGGAGTGTCTACATACACGGTAACCGGGCACCTAGTCTCAGTATCTACGTACACGGTAACCGGGCACTTAGTCTCACCAAAGAGTCTACATAACAAGAGGGGCCACTACTCTCTTTGAGCCAATTAAAAAAGTGTCCTCAAAATTTGGTGGCACCCTCTTCGCAAATGTGCACCCTTGGCGAACAGAGTTACCCTACTTGTGTTTAAAAAATCAAAGTGAAACTAGCAAGTTTTTTAATAAATTTCGGAAGAACACTTGTTTAAAATGGTTACGCTGACAAAAAACTTTTTCCGGAGGAAGGGGTGATTGTTTTCTTCGTTTAATTTGACTTTAGAATGAAAAGCGAGAGGTCATTAAAATTTTAAAAACCCTAAAACTCTGCACTGAACGAACCCGAACTGCTGATGAACAGCAGTCGATCTGCGCACGCAAGGAGGTGCTATCCCTATTCTTCTTTTCTGGAAAAACGAAAGAGAGCTTCAAAACAGACTGCAGCGCCATCTGAAGCAAAGGGCGGACACTTTTTAGGCTGAGTGGACCATCTTGTTATGTGTACTATCTTTGGTCTCACCTAGTCTTTGTATATCTACGTACACGGGAACCGGAATGAAAATAAATCAATATTTGTCCTGAGCTGTCACTTGCTGAAAAAAAAGAGAAAGTCATACAAGCGTCTTGCCGGGCTCACCATCGTGACACGTCAGTGAACCTGTGCATGTGCATCACATTGTGAGTACCAGTTGGGGTCACCAAAGTTCATTCAAGTAATGAAGTATAATAGGGCTCCGGAATGAGGGGGGGGCGATTATTGAATTTTTTTTAAAGGTACAGTCGGGGGAGGGGTGGGGATGAAGGCAACACCGGATGTCAGAAACTGAACGTTCTCTGAACTGCCAGGTTACCGTGTAC